TCTTTATTTCCACTCGACATGTTTGTTTTATTTCAGCACCACTACGTTCAAGTTCGACTGACATTCATTCGAATACTAAATGGATACAGAATGGTCTCACTGTGGCTGGAGGAAATGGTCACGGTAATGGAATCAATCAACTCTATAACCCAAGAGGTTTGTATGTCGATGATGATCAAACTATTTATGTCGCTGATCTGTCTAATCACCGTATTGTGGAATGGAAATGTGGTGCGACGAGTGGTCAAGTGGTTGCTGGTGGAAATGGAAGTAGAAATGGAGCTCATCAGTTGAATTCTCACTCTGATGTGATTGTTGACAAAGAAAGAGATAGTCTCATCATCTGCGATAATGGGAATGAAAGGGTAGTGCGATGGCCTCGTCGAAATGGTACTAGTGGAGAAACATTCATCTCAAACATCTCTTGTATGGATTTGACAATGGACGAGAATGGATCTCTCTATGTCGCTGACAATGGAAAAGATGAAGTGAGATGATATCGAATTGGTGATACTGAAGGAACAGTGGCTGCAGGTGGAAATGGAAGTGGATATCATCTCGATCAACTCTCTTGGCCTTACTACGCCTTTGTCGATCGAGATCATGCAGTGTACGTGTCTGATTATGGAAATGATCGTGTGATGAAATAGGAAGAAGGTGTAAAACAAGGCATTGCCGTAGCCAGTGGTCAAGGATCTGGAAATAGTCTTTCACAACTGTCAGGTCCTGGAGGACTCGTTGTTGATCAATTGGGCGCTGTCTATGTGGCTGAGTATTCGAATCATCGAATCATGCGTTGGCCAAAAGGAGCCACAAAGGGAAGTGTCATTGCTGGTGGAAAGGGTGAAGGAGGACAGTCGAATCAATTGAATTATCCCATTGGTTTATCATTCGATCGACATGGCAATCTCTATGTCGCCGATCAGTGGAATAATCGAGTTCAAAAATTTAATATTGATTCAAATTCATAGTTTATTGTTGTCGCCGTCATCATAGTTGACAGTTGAAGACTTTCCTGCGAAAGACAGAAATCATGTGTTTGTTGTCTTTCTGTTTCTGTTTATTTATTGCCAAAAAGTATTTTGAAATGTAGTCAAAGAATCAAAGAAACAAAGTTTTACAATTAATCGTTTTCAATCTTTACGTTTTGTCTATAACTTTGTCTATCTGGTTAGAATGAAACTTTATAGAGATTGAGAAAAGCATAGATTTGGCCTTTGAAATGAAATTTCTTTTCTCTTTCTATTGACATTTCCTTCGCCAGTTATTCTGCAATAATTTCCTATCTATACTCTATCAGACAGTAGTATTTTGGATTGGTCGAAAGTTACAATTCGATGAATTTCGTGTACAAAATTGAACGCGAGTTCAAATTCGAATTGGCATCAATATTAGAGCGCTGTGCTCTTCTGCCGACAAACGTTTGTTATATATTTTGTTTCCACTTTAGGTATGTGAAAATATTCACTCAAATGGGCGAATTAGAAGCTCTTTCGTTAAAGCTGTCGGATGGTCAAATTACTGACTTGTCTATCTTCATGTTTGAAGTATTAGGCTCTGAATTTCCTCGCCTCTCTTTTTTTTCTAACCGTCGCTATGAGACAACTGGTATGCATTGACTTTTAGAACTTTTTCTAAAAACAAATATTGGCACAAGACTCAGCATGATCGATTACCGATAGCCCATCCGTTTTCAAGGCTACCAATAGTCAGCGGGTGTCAGTCCTGGGACTCGTAAGAAATCCGACACAACACCCGAGCCGCGGAAAACCAAGGTCTCGCTTGACTCTCATTTTGAAGAGGATACCTTGGGCTATCATAGCATGGAAGAAAATCAGTACAATCCTACTGAAACTGTTTACGCACGGCCTGGTTTTCCAAAGATCTTCTCGCTGTTTCTCTTTGGTTTTCAGTAAAAGCCGTTTTTCTCAGCAAGGAAAACGAATTTTGAAAAAAGCTCTAAATTTTCTTCTGCCTTCGGCGGCGGCGGCGGTCACACTCACTGGTCACCATATGTATGTACGTCCGTCACGCTCACTGGTCACTATATGTATGTACGTCCGTCACACTGCCACATGACTATTTGTATGTACGTCCGTCACATGCGGACGCCGACACCGACATTTATTTCAATATGACCCTAGACTTTCAGTCAAGGGAATTATACTAAAAACATTGTTTTTTTAAGATGATGCTATTGTTATGTCAAATATTTCATCTGTTTTTTGTTTGCTTGTTCATGTATGGCGCTTGTTCAGGTTTTGGTCTAATGTTGTGCATTCTCAGTCTTCTTAAGTAATATGGTGCGATATATTTCTTTATTCAATGTTCTTTCTCATCACTTCCTTATATATAGATATATATATATAGCGGAAGTATTATCAGAAGTGTAGCAGTATTTAAACATGGGCAGAAGAACGTAGGTTTTTCAAAATAACTTTTTGAATGAAAATGATTTTAAGTCATACATTGCTCAAAATCATGTATCAATTAAAGGAACAGGAAAAACCGCTGATGGGGCAAAAGTAACATATCGATAGAAATGATTGAGTAGAAGTGGTTAGATTAAGAAGTTTAATAAAGTATAATATCACTGTAAAGATTATATTCCTATGACTAAGTTTATTTTCTTCCACACGATATTTCGACAGCTACTGCTACCATTATCAAGTAAAAAGAATTGACAGACTGTACAGCTAACAGAGATTCACACCATATATATATAAACCACAAGAGACTTATCTGTCAATTCTTTTCACTTTATAATGATAGCGGTAGCTGTCGAAATATCGTGTGGAAGAAAATAAACTTAGTCATAAGAATATGATCTTCACAGTGGTATTATACTTTACTAAACTTTTTAACATATCGATGTACTGAATGTAGAAAGTACCCACAATGTGATGTACAAATAGGTGCTGTTTTTAATGGTGATAATGAAATTATAGTCGCAATATCAAGTTCACATAATCACAATATTCGTGCTTCTACCAAAAAAGATTATTCTTTCTTAGTTAAAATCCGGCACAAATAAAAGAAATTCCGGGCACTTTTCTATTTCCGGGCACAAAAGTGTGAAAACATTTAAATATGCCCGGTTCGAACACAAACCAAGCTATCCGGGCACAGAAAAATGTTCGTCCTTCTACATATCCCGATTAGGGACGTTGTACATAGTCCACATATATAGTAGAAAATGGAAAGTTCTTTCTGTTCGCTCTATTTTAGTTTGTGTTCTACATACTTGTATTTTCTCTTATCTCTTATTTTTCTGTCTTCAGAATCAACTATCGAGTGTCACATTTGATGATGTCTTTTGAATAAAGGCGAAATTTCTCTAACAGAAAATAGCGAAATTTTCATGATGATAAAGGTGGTTTATATCTTATTCTCTATTTTTAAATTTTTCATTTTAGAAAATGATTCAATAAAAAAAAGTGTAAATAATTCTCATATCCTGATGCTTCCTTATACTTGGACTGTGAATGTTGATTCGATTATAAATAATAAATTCCAGGAAAAACGTATTTTATTGCATTTTTAAATATCCCTCTTAGCACATTTTCTTGATCGATGAATATTTTATTCTGACTTCATCATTTTACTCGAATATTTAAAAAAGAAAAGATTATTTTCGTTCTAACAACAAAAAAAAGAACGAAGTCAGTATTATTTGTGATAAGGCTGACACAAGTAGTCTGGTACTATACGTGAAAAAAGTTTATTGACAATCATAAGAATGAAAAATACTATAATACTCTGTTTTATCCACTCATCATTTCATGATGAGTTATTTTTTATTATATTTTGATAAATCTACATTGAGTCTTTTATTTTAGAATATTGAAATGATAAAAATACACTTGTATTTAATATCATTTATCTTGCTGTGTTGTAAAGGAGAATGTGCACAACCATATTTTCCATCTCAAATTGTATTTTCTCCTGATAATAGTGTAACAACAATTGCAATTGATGAAATAAATCAACGAGCCTATCAAAAAATCACTTTAAGTTCTTATGCAAGTGAAACATCCTTTGTTTTAAAAAATTTTCCATATGCAATTCCTGATTCTCCTCAATCAAAATATTATGTTCAATTATTAGTAGATTTTCCACCTCTCAATTGTATTTATGGAACGTATTGGGATTATGGTGGAAATACATTTAATTCATTTCCTTCACATTGGCTTAATGGAAGTTCATTTGAAATAAAAAATTATATGAAATTTAATTATGCAATGATTCACTCACAAGATTCTTCTGAGAATGAAGATTATTGGTATTCAAATGTTACATGTAAAACTGATAGTGGACAAACTTACCCATGTGAAGAAATTTATTTTCGAAAAAATACTCAAATTCCTCTCCGATCAACTCGAGTTGCGCGTGGAGGTTGGGATGTTAGACAATTCACAACATATTATAAAATAATATCAGTGGGAAAACCCGATGATAAATTATTTGATTCAATACCAAAAAATTGGTCTGTCGCTTGTCGAGATGTTATGCTTGGACTTTTATATTATCCACAAACATCAAAAATCGATTTATATCAAAGTGTAAAAGTTCAAGTTTGGCTTACAACTCCACCACATCGAATCAATGGAAATGATTATGTTCATATTCAATGGAAACCAAAAGAATGTAATGATTGCTTTAAACTATCACCAGAAGAATTATATTTTAATGGGACAAATTTTCAAGAAAGACAAACATTGAGAATAACCCGTGTTCAAAATAGTCCCAAAACAACTCTTATTCCAATTTTTAACGGTGGCGGTTTCGATCTTGTTACACCAGATAGTTATCCTATTTTTATTGAATAAGCCTTTTTCTTTTTATCTTGAACATTTATAAAACAATCGAAATAAAGTGCTTATCCAAAAAGTACTTCGACTGCAAAAATAAAGATTAAAATCATCATTTGTGCATTTTTGCAGAACAATACCTGAATCAAAGAGAAATGAAATAGTAGAAAGAATATACTTTGTATTTTATGAACTTGTTTCCATTTCGTGTCAGAGTGATACTCAGTTACCGTAGGCGTCGAATTTGATTGGCTGGTAATAGTATTATATAGATCTGACGAATTCTATATTCTCAATTGCATAAATAATGTGTAAAGTGTATTAACCGTCAAACACAAATATCGGAAAGACATTTTGTGTCTTCGAAGTTATCTTCTATTGCGCATAAGAAAACTTTATCCACCATATTGAGAGTGTGGGTTAGACGTCCGGGCAGATACAACTTTTCATACATGGACTCGACAGATTCTGATATTCAGTAAAACGGTACACAAAGTACTGTGCGCCTCAATAGGTTTTCGCCTATTAGTATTTTTCACTTTATTTCACTATTTTTTGTGCTTTTTGCAAAACCAAACCCATAGAAAGAAAGAGCAGACTCGACTGCATCTTTTGATCTAGGACCATCATGGATCAGATAGAAATCGAAACGAGAAAACCACATCAAAACAAAACATAGCATTTTTTTTCACTACAATCTGCAAAATTAGACTCTCGTATCCCTAGTTTTTCTCTGCTTGCATGTAAATAGACGTGTGCATACGCAACTTTTATATGCACATTTGCCAGCTCATTGTCAGATATAACATGTAGTGAAACAATGTAATGAACGGTTGGATTACGAATACATTAGCTTCAGCAATTAATGCGTTAAATATCGACAATATGTATTTAATTTGCGACAGAAGTCGAGCCCGTCACAAAGAGAGTATGATGAAAGCATTGAAAAACGCTAAATGTAAATCGGTATTGGATATCTATTTCATGCCAACAGCTTCTGCTAAATACCTATCACCATTAGATAATCCTCTTTGGCATTCCATCAAGGAAGTTATTCGAAGCCATCATTCACTTACAACAAGTGATCTTCCAACCCTACTCTCAGAGACTTTTCTTTCGCTACCGAAAAGTAAAATCACAAGCGCATTTCGAAAATGTGCTATTACATACAGAGTCGATGTTTTTTATGATAAACCATTTTGATGTGAATGCATTTTCTTTTAATATAATTCAGATGCAATAGCAAATGTAGTGAAAAAAATGCTGTGTTTTGTTTTGATGCGGTTTTCTCGTTTCGATTTCTATCTGATTCATGATTGTCCTAGATCAAAAGATGCAGTCGGGTCTGCTCTTTCTTTCTATGGGTTTGGTTTTGAAAAAAGAACAGAAAATAGTGAAATAAACTGAAAAATACTAATAGGGGAAAACCTATTGAGGCGCACAGTATATTAACTATAGCAAAAAAAACTTTTGGCTGGATCCTGAGGGATTTTCCGGGTGGATCTTTGGAACACCAGCTCTGTTCTCAGAAAACTAACATACAATGTTAGTAATGTTTTTGCATGCGTAGGCAGTCCGGATGTTACTCTACAAAATTATGCAAGTCCCGGCCCTCCAGCTATCGTCGTTCGGACAGGGCTCGCTTTCCCCGAGCACGTGTCTATCTCCGAGCAGACATCTCTGGGAATCTCGAAATGCCATGGAATATAGGTAATCGACTGCGCTGAGCATAGTAGCAACATTTGTTTTTATGTATGTTATTCATACAGAATTTTCACTAATATCTTGATTTGAAATACAGAAATACATACCATAGAACGTAAATTTAAAAAAGATCCGCTAAGTTGATGTTAACGTATGATTATCAATTATAAATATGGTGGCAGACAGTAGCGTTGAGCATCTCCACAACACGTACAAGGCGAATTACATGTGCACGATTGTGGACGTAGACTGGTTCGACGATTACGACTGACAGTATAAATTAGAGCAATGATATCAGTATCATAACAGGTACCATCACTAATATGGATACGGACTAGAAGAACAACTAGGTGCCAACTACCCTTCAGCCAAATTTATAAACTGATCGAGTGAAATGTTTTCTAAAGATCATTCGACCTCTTTGAACAATCTATACATGAGAAAATAGTTATTTTTACTTCCTTAAACTGTTTAGAAAAATCCTGAAACGTTTTTCAGCTTTTCTGGAATTCCTGAGAAATTTCATTTGTAACTATGCTCTCAGCTCCCGCTTCTGTCTCTTCTTGAAGATTGCATCTTTCTGCTTGTTTATTCTAGTTTTTACAATATAAATCTATAGTTTCAAAATATAAAAATATCTTTCTTTTCGCGTTTTTATCCTCACTTTTCAACAAAATTATATATCTAAAACATTTCGACGTAACTTATGACAGAATAAAAAGTTTTTCATCAACAAATAATAGGTTATGAATTAATATTTTCAAGTTATTATTTCCACGGTAGACATGAGATAGTCCAGTGTACTGCATGATTCACTTCTCAAAAATCTGAATTCAACTACAAGAATTGCTTGTCCATATGCGTTCGCTGATAAATTATAGCTCCTTTATTAATGTAATGTCATTTTTTTCTAAACAATAGCATGGCCATCGCAACATGAATAATTGTCGAAAATTAATGAAATTATTTCTTGCAGGTTAAAATAAGAACAGCAGCAGGGGAAAGGAAAATTCAAATGTTTACATAATGATCTGAAGAAGGAGAAGGTGTTTTGTTGTCGTTTCACACAGGTAAGTTGGAACAAAAGCTTTACATCAAAAATGTTAATTCAGTTACAGGATTCATAGAGTGCATATGTTATGTAGGCTCCTGCAAGTTCTTATAGCATGCACATGCAAAGCAGAACGAGAAAAACCGGTAGAAAAAAAGGAGCTGTATAGGCTTGAATTACGCTTTTCCACAATTTATATCAAACATTTATTCGCTGATGAGGAGCCTATGGACATACCCACCTCCGATTCCAATGGTTTATACATGGTTTAATAGACTATACAGAGGCAGTAAAAAGCCTAAAATGATTTGTCCCCACGGCTCTTGAAAACCCGGTTTTCTGGAAAACCAGTTTTTCAAAAACTCTAAATAATAACCAAAACTTTTCTTAATGAGGCATGATTGTAGCGTGCAAATTTCTGATTAAAATAAGACATCTTTCAGCTCTTCAGGACCTTTCTTTGCAAAGTTATAGAATTTACAAGAAAGCCCTAAATTAATTTCTTCTTATTTTTGTAGCTTTCAGCTGACAATGAACATTCAGGGCTTTTTGTGTAAATTCTATAACTTTGCAAAGAAAGGTCGTGTAAAGCTGGAGATATCTCACTTTAGTCAGAAATTTGCGGGCGACAATCATGTCTGATGAAGAAAGGTTTTGGTTACATTTTAGGGTTTTGAAAAATTGGTTTTCCAGAAACTGGATCTTCAAGAGTCATCGGGAAAATCCTTTTAGGCTTTTTACTGCCTCGGTATAGTCTATCAAACCGTGTATAAATCATTGGACTCGGAGGTGGGCATGCCCATAGATTCCCTCGTGAGCTACAGCTAAGCTAATAAAGAAATGATGAGAAAGTGAATAGTCTACTCTGTCCTTTGAAGTACGTAGAAGCTCCAAAAATTCATACAGGTTCTGGACGGCATGTATTGAATTATCATAAGAAATTACTTACCAATATACATTGGATACTGGGGAAGATTTTTCTCAAAGTCGGATGCTAAACGGTTATTTCGTCGAAAATTTATTATCACAACCGTACGATTAAAATGATCGGAAAACATATTCTTCGAGAAAACAAAAAGAAAAAGGGTTCTAATGAGTCGTGAAATGATAATCAATATAGTTCATTCACTTGTTGTTATGTTTAATAATATGATTATGTAAGGTATATTGTTCTATTTTACCAACTGTCAAAATAACCTTACTTATGAACTTTCTTATATATTCTTATAAGTCCAATTGTGGCAGCAATAATTGTTATCAAATACGATATAACTAATATACCTAAAGAACCTAAAACTAAACTATGACTACAGTACGTTGATAGGACAATTGATTCATGTTGTGAATAACGCAATGCTCTAAATGTATAAATACTACCTAGTATACATGTTACAAATAAAAAGAAATTTAATACTATTAATATAATTTATATTTTCGTTTTGTCATAAAATATATACTTTGTCTTCGTAAAATTTATTATTTATAATCAACAGTTAGATGTTTCGATTACAACGTGCAATCTTCTTCAGTATAACATAAAACAAAATAAAATAAAATTCGTATAAAATTAATACAACAAAATGTGTATATACAAAAGCAATTCTGGTTTAAAACGTAGTGTGTACAGTAGATATTAAAACTGTAATGTGACCATTCTTATTCTTGAAATATATATATACCTCACAGTGGACATTTTCTGCTAGAGCAGGTGACATCAGCTTTTCAATTGCTACAACAAAATTCCAAAAATTGTTTTTTATAGGTTATCGTGTATCCTGAGTCGAGTGGTGAAGTTAGAATCGCTTTAAGAATTTTTTCGGAAAGCCATTTCCGAAAAATGTGAGTTTTCTAGAAAAATATTCGAAAAGTCCACTAAAGACACCAAAATGTAGGTAATCGAGTGTGGTGAGTCGAATGGCGAGGTCGGAAGTACTATACGACGTTTCCCTGGCACACGGTTTTCCCCAAAACCTAGGTTTTTCCTTCAAAAAACCTGTTAATTTTGGGAAAAATGCAAAATATAGGTAATCGATGAGGCTGAGTTCAGAAATGATATTGAAAATGTTGGTTGACCCTTCTCGCTACCAGTACCGCTTTACTGACCTTGGCAAGAGCAATCTGAGGTAGGAAAAACGACCTGTATCTGTCGACATGGGGAAAACAGCCTTCTGTGCATACATGAGTTGTTGACCTTTGAGTTTAGTCAACGCTTGGTTTTTCATGGCAGTCATAATGATAGACGGTATAAAGATGATTTAGCGTTAGCATTGACAATATGCAGAGTGGGCATTTTCCCATAAAGCAGGCGGACATCTGATTTTTTGAGTTAGAAAATGATTATTTTAGCATAATATGGTCTTACTATGTGTCAGATATTAGCAGAAGTAAAAAAGGTCGAATTCAAAAAAGAATTTTTTTGACAAAAACTTCCTTAGGGGAACCCTTGCCCTGAATTTTTGTCTAAAAATGTTTTATTTGTAAAACTAACAAACTATACATCATTCGACGTAGTTTTTCACGGTAATTCTGAATATGACTTTATGTTATGGGAAAAGTGCTCTTATGGGGGAGAAAAACGCGAATTACCTCGAATACCCTATGGGTTTTTGTAAAATCAATAACTCGACTTAGAAAAAAAGACGAGAAAAGACGAGATCATCATAAATACACGATAGGCTGAGGAACATTTTCATGTAATTAGAAGGTCTGTGTATCAGCCTGGCTTTTGCCGCTTCATTTCGTGTATTCACATCAGTATATATTTTGATCGATTCTCGACATGCATAGTCAGAATGAAGGGAGTCGCTTCCTGACAATGATAATCGATCCATGAGTACACATCAGAAGTGCACAATGTGGGCAACACAAACCAATATCTCAGTCTGAACCCTATCGACTTTTAATCGTAATATAATCCATCAAAATCTTATTTCTAATTGCAAAATAATATCGAAATTAATCGCGAAATAAGCGATGAAAATCTAATTTTCAATCGCGGAATAATCGCTTAAAGTCTGATATTTGATTCGCTGGCTTGCGTGAGTAAAGCAAGCGGAGGTGCTTTTAGGTCGATATTAGCAGTGACAAAGCATCAGAGAATCATGCAGAAATCCGGCGAAATGTTACATTATGATCTTGTATGATCATACATGGCCATAGAGTGTTATCTTATAAGAATCTTACAGTACGATTTGCATAACATTAGCAGAGATGACAATTTTTCGTAAGATTTTTTGGCTGATCTTGTGAGATCAAACAAGATCAGAGGTTCAGATCTTGTACGAACTGACAAGAATCTAGCAAGATTTTATCGTCTGATTGTTCGACCTGGGCGGCTCTTCAAAAAAATCTTTCGAGTCCGAATTTGGGTTCGCCCGTAATTACTACCCAAAGCTTTTTTCAATCTTGATTGTAATACTGCTTGACGTTCTTGTGCTTTTCTACGTCGAAAGGCTTCTAGTAACGATGCAACTTTGTCGCTGTCATAGATATCTTCGTCAACTGTCGGTTCACAACCATAAATTAAAGGGTCGAAAAACGACTCGAAACAACAATGAGGTAACTCGTCGATAGCTGTTGCCCAGGGTGGCATTTCTTCACTCATGATCAAGGTCACATTCCAGACACTGGGGTATTCTTCCACAGATTGTATTTTAAATATCGTCCCGTATGAAATCAGTATTTCGTCTTCATCCGTCATCATACTGTGCATCTTAGCATTGGCAAACGGCTTAACACCGATTCTAGCGTGCAGTTCTATTGTAAATAATACTGATACGAGAAATGGACGATTGTCGCCATTATATCCGGTATATGAAAAAGCAACCTCGGACGATATTGAAGCCGAAAAATATGAATTGACGGAAATAATTTTACCTTCGTTGTCTCTAATATTTTGAAATTCTGTAAGTGTCATCAATTGTCCTCTATGAACGGTAATAACTTCGTTTTCCTTGGAAAATTGTTTATCATTTATGTCTGTTAATTGCTTATTCAGATCTCTAATAAAGAAATCCAGTCTATGTACTATCATTTTGTTCTCAGTTCGAAAGGCTTTATTTAATATCCTGTAAAGAAAACAGTCTGACGTGTACCAAGTGAGAGCTTCTTCAGCACGATAATACCTTTCGAACTCATACACTTTACTTAGCGCTGCGTCGTTACCATGATATTGCTGACGGATACAATCCAGATTTCTATTTACCTTCGAACCTGGCAGAAGCATCAAGCAATGATTCAGATCGTCATTTGGTTCTTCTATTGAACGCAGGCATATACGAAATTCGTATTCTGTAACATCCAGCGATGAAAACTCACTACAATCTTGAAGTGATTTTTCTCTACTATTGAGTGTACTGAACACGTTGAATGATGAAAAATATTTCTCAAACAGTGTTATGTCTTCTTTCAATTTGTCTAACAAAGTATTTTCGTTATTAAACACGCCACGTCGCTTTGCATATTTTGCTGACCAAACATCTTGAGACTCAACATTCATGCAGTAAACGTAAAAAAAGACAAGTTGTGGTAGGTCATAAATACGAAGGATAATATCTTCCCCAAGCGAACCAGATACAATGAAAAATACTTTATCGTTTCTAACAGCGGTTATATAATTAGTACAACTCTGAACGTTGTCAAATATTTTCGAGCAATTGGCTATTGAACGTAAGCGTGCTTTTCTATTGGTTGTTTCATTCGTCTGTTGATTGATGTTAATATCAAGCCACACAATAGAGCACGACTCAAGATTTTCATTTGGACATACTAATACGAAAGAATGATCCTGTGGATGCTCAGACGATTTCTTATGTGCACATCGACTGCACATATAATACTCGCTACAAGTCGAACATTGGAAGCATAGCCCAATCAAAGGAAACTGTAAACAGTTATTGCAGCTAACTAATTGATGTATTTGATCACTAAATAGAGCACTAAAAACAATTTTCTTTACGACCTGGCTTCGAATAATGTACAAACCTGATTGTTGGTAGATTTAGATCGTCACGAGCGATTATCTTTCCAAAAAGGTTGTCTGGTTGCTTAAAGAGAACGCCCAAATGGTCAGTAGCATGGTTTCGCGTCGTTATATGGTCCTGGAAACATGATCCACAAAGATCATAATCATCACACTCTAAGCATGTATACCGATCACCATCGAATTGTGATATATCGCATCCATCACATATAACATTGTGACAATGAGTCGAATGAGTCATGTTCTATGAAAACAGAAAATAAAAACATTATTGTAAATATATCTGTCTCATATATATCCGCAGACTCTTTGCAAAATGATAGAACAAATTTACCTTACATACGTAGTTTTTTTTGACATTCACTTTATTGTTCCTTTTTAATAAAGGTTAACAAATAATAACTACTACACACAAAAAATTGAAAAAAGATTTTACATACAAATTTTTCGAGAAAGAGAAAAAAGAATTCTAATACACAGGGATATGACCACATTTTACGATACAAAGCACATGTTTCTACTTAGCCTTACAAAAATAAAAGAATGAAGGAAGAAGAGCAAAAAGAAAAAAGCTCAAAACAGTGATAAAGAAAAGAACAAATATGAACTATATATTTTTGACACAAAACAGTTTGTAGTTCTTCTTTTTTTCAACACATATTTAAAAGACAAGATTTCATTTCTTTTTCTTAAGGAGGTTTCACCGAGAAGTACTTGAACATGAACAGTTCTAAATAGGAAGATGTTTTTTTGAAGAAGCCGTACTGCTCTCGCTGAACACTCAAGAAGGGGTAAACATCTAGGAAAGTGTGCCGAGCTCTTTTTGCCAACCTATCAGGGAAGA